ACATCCTGGATGCTTCCAAGTTTTGGCAATTATGAATAAAAGCTCCTATGAACAGACAGGATTTTATATGGACACAATGTTTTCAACTCATTTGGGTAAATATTATACTAAGAAGCACAACTGCTGGATAATACAGTAACAGTACATCTTGTTTTGTAAAAAACTGCCAAAGTAGCTATATGATTTTGTATTCCCATCAGCAAGAACGAGTTCCTACTGCTCCACATCCTAGCCTGTATTTGATGGTATCAAGAACGAGTTCCTACTGCTCCACATCCTAGCCTGTATTTGATGGTATCAGTAGTTTGGCTTTGGGCCATTTTAATAGGTATGTAGTGGTATCACAATGTTGGGGTTTTCTGATTGTTTGTTTCTTTTGAGACAGACTCTCCCTCTGTCGCCTGAGCTAGAATGCAGGGACATCATCATAGCTCATAGCAACCTCAAAATCCTGGGCTCAGGTGAGCCTCCTGCCTCAGCCTTCCAAGTAGCTGAGACTACAAGTGCACACCACCATACCCAGCTAATTTTTTCTATTTTTAGTGGAGATGGGGGTCTTGCTCTTGCTCAGGCTGGTCTCAGGTCTGTGGCCACCTCAGCCTCCCAGAGTGCTAGGATTATAGGCATGAGCCATCAATGTTGTTTTAATTTGCATTTCCCTGATGACACAGGATGTGGAGCATCTTTTCATGTGCTTATTTGCCATCTGAGTATCTTCTCTGGTGAGAAGTCAACATCTTTCGCTCAATTTTTAAACCGGTGGTTTTCTTATGGTTTTCTTATTGTTGAGTGTTAAGAGTTAACTACGCAGTTTGGGTAATAGTCCTTTATCAGGTAAATTCTTTTGCAAATATTTTTTCCCAGTCTGTTGTTGTCTTCTCATTCTCTTGATGTTTCCCTTTAAAAACATTCATTTCAAATATCTATCTTTCTGTTTTATCTCTTTTTTGTTGCTATTGTTCTCTATTTTATGAATATCTGTTTTTATCTTAAATACCTATTCTATGCTGGGCATGGTGTCTCACACCTATAATCCCAGCTACTCAGGAGGCTGAGGCAGGAGGATAGCTTGAGCTCAGTAATTTGAGACCAGCCTGGGCAACACAGAGAGACCATATTTCAAAAAAAAAAAAAAAAAAAAAGGCAACCTAGTCTACTTTCTTTTGGGCTTACTAACTTCCCATTTCAAAGAACTGGTTCATTTTTTACTTCATTTTCTTTTTCGAACAAAGATACTTAAGACTAAATTTCCCTGTACCTTTTCAGTCACATTGTACTCTCATTATTTAGGTCTAACTATTTTAGTGTAAGGATAATTAATATAGCAAGATACTGACAGGTATCCTCCATTATAGCACCATGCAGAACAGTTTCAATGCCCTACAAAACCATGCTATTCAGCCCTCCCTTCTTCATAATGTTGCCTTTTCCAGAATGGAAGAAATTGCAACAAGAAGAATAAAGTTGTTTAAAAAATTTAAGTTGGACACTGTTAAAATAAACAATTCAAGATGGCTAAAAAGCAGAATGGATGCAGAAAAAAAGGCAAGCAAATTAAAAATAAACTTGAGGAGCTAGGTACAGCAGCTTGTGCCTGTAATCCCTGTACTTTGGGAGGCCAAGCCAGGAGGATTTGCTTGAAATCAGCCTGGGCAACATAGCGAGACCTTGTCTGTTAAAATATGAAAAATAATTAGCTGGGCGTGGTGGTGCACACCTGTAGTTCCAGGTACTGAGAAGGGTGAGAGGCTGAGGCAGGAGGATCTCTTGAGCCCAAGAGTTTGAGGCTGCAGTGAGCTGTGACTGTGCCACAGCACTCCAGCCTGGGTGACAAAGCATGACCCTGTCTCTTATTTATTCATTTATTCATTCATTCATTCATTCATTCATGAGACAGAGTCTCACTCTGTTGCCCAGGCTAGAGTGAGTGCCGTGGCATCAGCCTAGCTCACAGCAACCTCAAACTCCTGGGCTCAAGCAATCCTCCTGCCTCAGCCTCCCAAGTAGCTGGGACTACAGGCATGCGCCACTATGCCCAGCTAATTTTTTTTTCTATATATATTAGTTGACCAATTAATTTGTTTCTATTTTTAGTAGAGATGGGGTCTCGCTCTTGCTCAGGCTGGTTTCGAACTCCTGACCTTGAGCAATCCACCCACCTCGGCCTCCCAGAGTGCTAGGATTACAGGCGTGAGACACCGCACCCGGCCCTGTCTCTTTTTTAGATAGATAGATAGATAGATGGATGGATGGATGGATGGATGGACGGACGGACGGACGGACGGACGATAAATCTCAGGAATTTTCACAGAACAAAGACAAAGATCACAAGTACAGAAGAAGTATTTTGAAAGAAGTCAGAAAACCTGGAAAGAGATCCAGAATTTTCAACATGTGACTAACAGGAATTCGAGAAAGCATCAAGAGAATGGAGAAAAGGTATGCTGAAGAAATAACAGCTAAGAATTTTCCAAAACCAAAAACATGAGTACTCAGACTTAAAGGGCCTAACTGGTTATGTTTTCAAAACTCACATCTGAAAATATTACAATAAATTTCAAAATATTAAGCATTTCTCTTATAGGACTCAATGTTTACTACATATGAAACTTGACTTACACAATTACAAGACATATTTCAGAGTAAAATGAATAAATTTCCAAAAAACATAAGCATGCAAGAAACAAATTAGCCAAAAAAGTGTTAAGTATATACTGTGTTTCCCTGAAAATAAGACAGGGTCTTATATTTTATTTTCCTCAAGAAGACATCCTAGGGCTTATTTTCAGGGGATGTGTTATTTTCCCCTCAAAGCCTCAGCTTGCAGCACACACAGGATGGCCAGGACCTGACAGGGAGAGCCGACCTTGCTGGTGGGGCTGCCCACACCTTGTGGTCACCACTGGGATAAGTAGCTGTCACGATGGGGCAGATGAGAAGGGCTGCTCCTCTTCTTTGCAGCTCCACAATGAAATGCATGGGTTGTGCAGATATACTGTGTAGCCACGCCCATCACTAGGTCTTATTTTTGGGGTAGGGTTTATATTGCGCAAATGCTTAGAAATCCTGCTAGGGCTTATTTTATGGGTAGGTTTTATTTTTGGAGAAACACGGTAGACAATGAAAAGCCTTAAAAATCAAACGAAAAATTCAAACATTATGGACTTATCAAGCTGAGCTGGAATAGAAAAGGACAAAGAAAAAAACCTATGCTACAGTTTTTATTTTGTACAGGGGATGGATACTGTAACTAAATATTGTTATAAAACTTATACTTTTAAGTATACACGGGCAAACTGTAAAGGTAACTGTAAAGGTAACCACTAGAAAAACTGAAATAGAATACATATATAACTTTGAAATTATCAGAGAAAAATCAAATGAAAACTTTATGAAGTCAACAAAATAAGCAAATAGAAAACATGGTATATATAAAGCACAACTTAAAGTATAGCTATAATTAAATATAATTATCAATTATCTTAAAATGTGAATATGTTAATCTCAGCCATTAAAATATGGTTATAGATTAGTTTTTTGATAAATTTGGATTTTTTGAAAAATCACCTACATGCTATTTACAAAAGATATACCAAAAACCAAATAATCCAGGAAAGAATGGCAGAAAATGGAAAAGATATGCCAAATGCTTAAAGAAAAAAGCATGGTAGTGCTAAAAGCAGACCACATGGATTATGTGAACATCATTAAATCAGACAAAAAGATACTGCATATTGATTTTAAAGACACTATTTAAAGATCCAATTATAAATCTCTAGGTACCCAATAGGTTGTCTTCAGAATACATGAAAACTAAAATTATGAGAAACTAAAAAGTTCACACAAAGAAATTTCCCAGAAGCTTCTTACTTTTAAATTCACCATTACCATACTTGTGTACAATATTTAATTGCTAAACACTTTCAGCAGTGTAATAAGATACAATTCAGAATGTTTATAGAAACACATTACTATGAAACAAACTCAGAGTAAGTCTAGTTCACTAAAGCAGTTTCAGAAGTAAATAATAAAAACTTCTATTCCTAATAGAAGTATCATCATAAAATAAATAAGCCTAAAAGTAAATGTTACCAAAATTAAGAAACACCACTGCTGGGCACAGTGGCTCATGCCTGTAATCCTAGCACTCTGGGCGGTCAAGGCAAGAGGATAGCTTGAACTCAGGAGTTTGTTTTATTTCAGCATATTATAGGGGTAAAAATGTTTAGGTTATGTATGTTACCCTTGCCCCTCCCTCCCAAACTCAGGAGTTTTGAGACCAGCCTGAGCAAGAAAAAGACCCCATCTCTACAAAAAGTAGAAAAATTAGCCGGGTGTGGTGGCACACACCTGTAGTCCCAGCTACTTGGGAGCCTGAGGCAGGGGGATGGCTTGAGCCCAGTTTGAGGTTGCAGTGAGCTATGATGACGCCACTCTGACTCTATCTCTGAAACACACACACACACACACACACACATTAATTAATGAATTAATTAATACAATGGGACAGAATCCTGCCCTGAAACCAGACAACCAGTTTAAGCAGCTGGTCTGGTGGCCAGGAAAGCCTGAGTAACTTCTTAATTTTGTTTTAGTGAATAAACATCATTAATATGCCTAACACAGATTTAAAAGTTTATGAGCAAGAAATCAGATCAAATAATTAGAGGAAGATCTTATTCATGTGCTCCAAGAATGTATCTAGTGATTTTTTTCTGACCTGTTTTTAGTTCTTGGTGCTCAAGAGGATACATGTTTAAGAAACTGAAGTAGAGCAACCTCTGAAATAAATAAGAAACATTAAGTCTGAATTCCCTAACACTAAATTTATTATAAAATTTACAGATGGGAAATACAAGAAATTAAAGGAGTTACTACTTGCATTTTGGTTTGTTCACTTACTAGAACATAAGTCAATTCTTTACTTGCTTCTTATAAATTCAGTTCAATAGGCTTTCTGTGTTACTTCAAAGTACATAGCTGACAACATAGTTCCTTACCTTTCCATTAGCTTCTCTTTATCCCAGTTGAAGTGGCTAAGGAGTATTCTTGTGATAGTTGCTGGATTCTAAAGAAGGAGGGAAAAAAAGTCATTTAAAGGTAACAGCACTTCACTGACATTTAGTGATGTCTAGGATGAACTTAAATTTCCATAATACTCTACCCAAATATCCATTCACAGGATATTTCTTTATTCCCCTAAGGAAATACAAAACTTGAATTATATATGATCAAGACTATTTAAAAATAGTCTGCCACACTAACATGTTATGCTTCTGTAAGAGTCAAAATCAGCCAAAAAGAAATTAAATCAAAAGTAAATTGCTATATTAAAGCAGGCATTAATTAAAATTATTTTTTTTTTTACAATTAAGACTTAACAGCACATCAGCACACTAAATGTAATCAATAAAATTTCTGATGCCTAGCTGGAACAGTGGTGCATGCCTGTAGTCCCAGCTACTTTGGAAAGCTGAGACAGGAGGGTCACTTGAGTCCAGGAGTTCGACCTCATCTCTTTAAAACTAACAATAATAATAATAATAATAATAATATTTTTCCCTAATACCTTATACATTGAATAGTTCAAATGGGTCCAAATCATTTCTAAGTCAGAGGGTACTTTGGAGATATTAAACCAAGCTGACAAAATAGTTATACTATGTAATAATTTATAGTGTGTAATCTTAGGATTGCTATTTCATTTTAAGAAGGAAAAGCTAACACTGTGAAGACAGACCAAAGTTTACAATGCTGTCACAAATATCTCCATTTCCCATAAAACTAGTGAGCTTACTCTTTGGGTATAAAATTTTAACTTAAAATGCAAGGGGCCTAAGAGATCAGCAAAGCCTGACTCATTCAAAGACACTAGAGCTAAGCTACAATAGCAGAAGTGGAACTCAAACATGGGTCTGTATTTGTATTGCATATATAATTTTAACACGTCAAATAACATTTCAAAAAAGATTTCTGTGGACTAAAACTACTTTATTTCACCACAGTTAATTACTGATTTAGTTAAAGTCATCTTGTATAAAATGGCAAGAAAGAAATATCTATCTATTTTCAACAATACCATTTGTCAGCGAAAAATTCACACTAATATACTCTCCCTTCCCCCAAAGCCAAGGATGCAGACACTCTCACTAACTCATCCTAGCACATTCTGCTATCTACCTAGGCATTTTTATTTCTCTGACCCAGACTCTCCTAAGAATCCTTCTTCAACACAGCACTCCAGACAGATACCAATAATCTACAAGAGTTAAGATACCAAAAGAAACCTATTAACTGATCCTATAATGTATATTTGTCCAGAATATATAGACACTGTCGTCTCCAGTTCTTTCTTCTAAGTCACATTTCTAAATTCTTTCTTTTTTTTTTTTGAGACATAATCTCGCTGTCACCCAGGCTAGAGTGCAGTGGCATCATCATAGCTCACTGCAACTTCATACTTCTGAGGTTCAAGAGATCTTCCTGCCTCAGCCTCCAGAGGACCTAGGACTACAGGTGCGCATCACCATGCAGAGCTTATTTTTCTTTTCTTTTTTTTTGTTTGTAGCGATGGGGTCTCACCATTGCTCAGGCTGGTCTAAAATTCCTGAGCTCAAGCCATCCTCCCTCCCTGACCTCCCAGAATGATAGGATTACAGGTGAAAGCCACCACTGCTACGGGCCTGATTTAGAAATTTTAAAAGAATTCTCAGAGATTGGTGATAGGTTTTCACAAGATTTGCCTACGACTGAAATAAAGTTAGAAATTTAGATTTAGCCATGTGTAAAATAATAGCAATAATCCTATCAATTGAGAGACTTAAGTTTGGTGGTATTTACTGGAATTGTGTGACTATAACTTTGTGACATCTAGTACATTATAGTCCCCTCCACTAGATAGGGTGCTTGGGGAAAAATATTTCAGGAATTGTTAAGAGTCTCAACTTACAAAGAAAACAAAAAAAAGAGAGAGAGATGGGGGAATGATTTGATGTTGCTAATGCCAAACATTGGATCCAGCCAATAGTTCCCAAACTTATCACTGGTTTATCAAAAATAACTATGGAAAGTTTTGCCAAAAACACAGATTCCCAGGTTTCACCCCATATTTTTACTTAATAGGTTCTGGGCAGGGCCTCTCTGAATGTGCTCATTCCCTTGACAGGTAGGACTCTAAAATTAAGAGAACTCCATGCTTCTGGCTGAAGGAATAAAGAAAAGGCCCCTGGGAGCTGAGAAGTATGGGAGAAATCACTGAGAGGAAAGAAATGGAGAGGTAGATCCCTAAGTCTGTGTGTGGAACACACCCACAGAAGTATAGGAGAGGCTTTCAGAACAGTACTACTATATAAATCACTGCCCAGGTACTAGATTAATTAATTGTCAATGAGAGGTGCAAATGCAAACAACAGGCAAAGGCTTTGAAAACTGAATAGATAATGGAACCAACTGTCTCTGTAAGGTGAGAAAGAACTTGCAGGTATAACCTAATCAGGTTGACCTGTCTGCTAAAACAAACAAAAAAATCTTCAACATTTTCTAAAGGATTTTAACAGGAACCAGAATATTCAAAACACCTGGGATTGAATCTAAACTACCAGACATAGCAAGAACAAAAAAAATCTGACCAATTTTCAAAGGAGAAGATATTCAATAGATGCTGACCTATAGATGGCCCAGACATTAGAATTATCAGGCAAAGACTTCTAAAGTAGCTATCAAAACCATGACCCATTAGGTAAGGGTGAACACCTTAAAACAAATGAAATAAATTTTCAAGAGAGAAACATAAACTATAAAAGAACTAAATGAGAATTTTAGAACTAAACACAAAATTCATTGGATAGGTTCACAATCAGAAAGGAGATGACAGAGTCAGTGAACTTGAAGATAAATCAACAGAAATTATCCAATCTTAACAATAGAGAAAAAATGTTTTTAAAATGAACACTCGAAGGGATATCAAAAAGATGTCAACCAAGAATTCTATAGTCAATGAAAGTATAGTTCAGGAATGAAGACAAAGACATTATCAGACCAAAATAAATATATAAAAAGCAATGATAAAGAGAACTGCCAGCAGAGCTGCTCTAAAAGAAATACTTTAAAAAGTCATTTAGGGGCAAGGGAAATGATACCAATGGCAAACTTGGAACTACAGGAAAGAATGAAGAGCAACAGAAATGGTAAATATCTGGGCAAATATTACAGACTATTTTTCTCCTCTTAAATTTTTGAAAACATAAATCTGTTGAAGTAAAAAATTATAACAAGTCATGATGGGGAGGAAGAGTTAAATACATATAGACATGATACATACAACAACCATAATATAAAGGGGCTGGGGAAAAGTAATCTGCATGGTTGTGTAAGGTTTCTCTGTTTTACTCGGAGTGGTAAAATACTAACTCGAAGTAGAATGTGAACAGTCAGATAGTTATATTATAATCCCTAAAGTAATCACTAAAATAACAAGACCAAGACATATAGCTCTTAAAAAAAAAAAAAAAGCTGGCCTGGCGCAGTGGCCCCTGCTGCTGCTACTCAGGAGGCTGAGGCAAGAGGATTGCTTGAGCTCAAGAGTTTGAGGTTGCAGTGAGCTATGACGACTCCACTGCAATCTAGCTGGGGAAACAGAACGAGACTCTCTCAAAAAAAAAAGAAAAGAAAAAAATAAGTAACCCAAAAGAAGACAGAAAAAGGACAAAGAGAAAAATAACAAGAAAGACTTAAGACCAACCACATCAATAATTACATCAAGTATAAATATTCAAAACAAACCATTTAAAAGACAGCAACAACCAAGTTGTTTTTTTTTAAAGGGCAAAACCACATGTTATCCATAACCCAATTTTCAGTGTATGAAACATACATAATTAAAAGGATAGAAAAAGATATATCATGTAAACACTAATCAAATGAAGCAGCAGTGGCTATATTTCTATAAGACAAAGTAAACTTCAGAAGGGAAATTACCAGTGATAAAGAAAAACTTTACAATGGTAAAAAGGTCAATTCACCAAGAACACATAACAATCTTAAATATATGCTCCTAAGAACAAAACTTCAAAATAAAGTGAAAGCTGATAGAAAGATTAGAGATTGGGATACTCTTCTCTCAGTAATCCATTGAACAAGTAGACAGACTACTTGGAAACTTAATCATCTTCTACTAAATAACCCAAGGAGGAAATCTCAATATTAAATAACCTGAAATGAACAAAAATGAAAATATAACTATCAAAATTTGTGGGACATAGTTAACAGTGTTTAGAGAAAAATTTAACACACTAAACACTTATATAAGAAGTTCTTAAACAAAACAAAACCCACCAACACAAGCAGAAGGAAGGAATAATAAAGAGAAGTCAAAAAAATCAAAAGCAGAAAAACAAAAAAAAATAAAGCTAGTACTACATACAGATCAATAAAACTAGTAAGCTACAAACAATTCTTTGCCCATTAAATTCAATGGCTCTTGATTGTAATTCCAGCACTTTAGGACGAGGCTGGGAGACTGAAACCAGCCCTCACAACATAGCGAGACCCCCATCTCCACAAAAAAATTTAAAAATTAGCCAGGTGCGGTGGCATACACCTGTAGTCTCAGCTACTCAGGAGGCTGAATGAAGCAAGAGGATTGCTTGAGCTCAAGAGTTCGAGGCTGTAGTGAGCTAAGACTGCCACTATACTCCAGCCTCCAGCCTGAGTAACACAGTGAGACTTTAAGTGAGTCTCTTAAGGAAAAAAAAAACCAAAACTCAGATCAAAACGGACCAATTTCTTGTAGATGCAAACTACTAAACTACATTAAAGAAAAAAAAAAGAACACAAATATTCCTGTATCTATGAAACAAATTGAATATGTAGTTAAAACCTTCCCACAAAGAAAACTCAAGGTCAAATGGCATCACTGGTAAATTGTATCAATCATTCAAGGAAGGAAAAAATAACCAATTCTACACAATCTCTTCCAGAAAACAAGAGAAGGGAACACTTCTCAATTCCTATTATAAGATTAGTATCACCCTGATACCAGAATCAGACAAAGACATTACAAGAAAACTA